ATCTCCTGTGCCCCACTCAGGAAGATCAATGCATCACCACTTTGGCTCTTGGGAGTAGTGGTCTGGATTTTCTTGAGTAAGGCCAGGTATGGGCCTTACTGCACTCTAACTCTGTATTCCAAGCGAGTTAGAATAAGGGGAGCTCATCACAGGAAATGCCGCGTCCCATACAGCTTCGAATAGCTAGGAGGGTGAGCCGGAAATATCCAGAGTCCTTCTCAGAATGGACCTACTAGTACCAACGTTGTACAGGTGCACACTACGGGAATCTAAATTAACCAACGGCACTCGGTGGTACAATTTAAACTGACATGAAGAATTTTTTAACTCATTATCTCTAATATGAACTGAAAAGATCTTGAAGACCATCTTGAAGACTTGTTGCGTCGTGAAAAACGCGCCGTTCGGCCACAACATATCGAGATCGATCCGGGGAGCTAGGTTTGCGCGCGCACGGACGGACGGACGGACGGACGGACGGATGGACGGACGGATGGATTATACATGCGCACCATGAGGGTGCACGCATGTACAATGAAAGCAAGCAGCTGCTCCATGCTGGAGCCGGAGCATATACATGTGTAATCGACCATCCTTCACTCTGGGAAATCTTCATTCCATGTATATGTCGGTTTGAAATAAGATATGTAAGTCGACAGACTGTATTATCTTCGCTTGAAATTTTAACTCTTGTCACCAAGGTCACATCCAACCTCATTTAACCTAACGCGGTATGTACCTTAAAGAACGGAGGCATCGATAAGTCTCGATTTTGGGAATCCCACCGTGCAGGTAGTCGAGGATCCCAAGCACACCGTAGTTACACCCGCATTGCTCATGGTGTAGGTCATGCATATCAGGGTTCATTACCTGGATATTCAACAATAGATAAGTCTTTAAGAGCCTATACCTTACAGTAACGAAGTTATATCCCGAGTGAGAGACCAGCGTGTTAACGAAGGAGAAAGTTAACCACAGAGCGAAGGTTAGTATCTACTTTCCAGTATGGAACGATTCCAAGGATTTGATGTACATGAGATTGCATTATTATTGGTCCGGCGAGTATAGGGGTAACATTGATGATAACTTGATCGAGTGGGTGATTATATAGAGCTTGTAGAGGGACAGGGGATGTGAACCTGATTAGTCAAATACTGGCAACTACTCCTACTGGAAAGTATGGAAAGGGTACAGGTACCTCAGGGGCCGCAGCCATCATAGCAGGTATAGCTGGAATGCTCTATAGCCTCGAACCTTCTCAGCATGCTAAGCTTACCCCAGGTTATATCCGAAGTATCATCAAGAATACGGCCACGCCAGGCGTGATGGATAGCAAAGGGGGGAAGGTTCTCACTTTCGGCCGCGTGAATGCTGAGGCGGCTGTACGAGAAATACTTGAAAAGTAGAGGATTGCTCTCATCAAGGTTTTGGCTCGATGATGGAAAATCACCCCCGAGCGGGTCGAGTCTTTCCAGGCATTCTGGAAAGAGTCTGGGAAGATCCGTAAACTTGACGTGGTTCATTTTCGTTTTTTTTGTTACCTCCCGCATATCAAACATTATGAGTATGTTATTCGACATCATATGTGGTAGTGATGCTTCTCCAGCTGAGCTACCGACTCACTTTTCACTTTATTTGCGAACTATCAACTCATCTTCGCCCCGCGAATGACTACACTTCAGAATTCTATCGCTTGTGTTCTTATACAGGGTATTATAGTTCATCGAAAAATATACATTTCGAGCAATTCAGTTAAATGTGAAACTATGGAGTGTCGAAAATTTTGTATCCTTGTGTGAAACGAATCGTGTCGGACTTTCCACTGCTCATCGCGCTCCCGCCAAGAAATTATTCAACGCGTGGAGTGCGCTTCGCACTGTCCACCGATTCATCAGCTTCTTCCCCACCCGCGAGACGTATCAATCATACACGCTGTATGATACACTATATAAAAAGCTCGCGAATTCTTACATAACCTAGTTGCAGCGTGACAGACAACAAATCGAACAAGTAACTTCTCGCAAACAACACGGCGCTTGCGCCACGGACATCAGCCAATTAGCTCAGCCTCGTTGCATGCCCTTGCTCTAAGATAGGAAGACAGGTAGGTATTAAGTTTGTACTATCAGTCTCTGACTAGCATTTGGGACGGTTTCAATCTGTTACATACAACTCTCCACTCTCTGCATCTTCAGCAGTAATTCATTCTGGGAAAGTGAAGCCCAATGAAGAGGGACATAGCGGGCTCGAAGAAGTATGAGGGTATAGAAGAAGCGAACTTCGTTTGTAGTAGAAGCTTCGGTCAAGAAAGTTACTCATTTCTAGTACAACTTTCTAGTAAGTAAGTTCTCGAGGTTGAACAGAAATCCTCGAACAATAAAACTTCCATGCATCCTTTCACCTCAACCTCGGTCTTCCATCCCGATCTCTTTCAGAAAGTAGCTTCCTACAAGAACTTTGATTGGGTTATTACGCACCATTGGTGAGCGATGAAATAAACCTCGAAAATTTATCAAGAGCGAAGACAAGAATTACTCGATGGATCCCGTATATTAAAGCTTCGTTCTACGCGATTGCACACATTCTCGCCGTTGATGCCCTGGGCAGGCAGTTACCTTATAAAAGGGCCGGAGAGCCAACATCCAAGGCAAAATATCTGTAAGCCCAGACATCGACGGCTCCCTTATTTACTATGTTAAACATGAGACTCACTTCTTGCTAATCGACTATACATATGAAAAACACGCTAGATTCGCTATCCAAGAGTGTTAGGTAGTTGGCTCGGTGAAAGACGTTAGCTGTTTGTTAAGGCAGCTAGCACATAGCCGGAAGCATCGAGTAATAGCAATATGTTGAAGGACCATCGACTTGTCCGCTTGTTACCCCTGCTGACAGCTGCTCTCGAGAAGCACCGATGACATCAGGTCCTGATAAGCAGAACTTGATAATCGAATTACAAGTTATAGAATGCAATTGTCAGCGATGGTCTATCTTTCCCGAACCGCCCATGTTTCCCGCGGTATTACCATCCTGATTGTGCATATGCTGCATCTACTAAGCAATATTTTGTAGCTATACATCTCCGCGGGGCAACATAGGCCTCCCCATTCAACTACTCAACTCGCGACTCGAGTCTCAGCGTTTACCAAGATAGTGCCGAAGACATAACTTCGTTCCTTCATCAGCAATCTAAAAACTTACCCACTGCCCAAATTCGCACTGTTTTCGTGCGCGATTGTATCTCCAAAGAGTACATGCGCATGCTTTCAAGATTTCGCCTTCAAAGCCTTTCGCAGTATTCTCCGTACACGTTGGGACGCCATTTTCTCGACACTCTGACCTCCTCCTCGCCAATTCCTTGCTCAAAAAGCCTTGACACTGCGTCTCGCTGAATAACCGGTTATGTTATCCTAGTTCCATCCCAGTGCCTGTATTGTCCCAATATTATGGGGTATTCCTCGTTCATGGACTCTTTCAGCTTCGTGAATATCTCGGAAATGCGCAGATACTGAGTGAGTATCTGCGCACCTTCCTGAGTGCTGCTATTCCACTTTGCGGCGGTAACTGATTACCAATTCGTGCACGGCGCACTCTGAGTTTGTCTTCCTGCTCTCGATACCTATCCGCGAGCGCTGCCTTTTCCCGAGGCCATCGGTCTCACCGAGTTGTCCCTCCAGTCGTATGTTTCATCTATTCGAGTGACTCATGTGGTGCTCATCGACGCGAGAGTTCTAATTTAATTGGAGAGAATGCCAGTACTTGTGTGAGGGCTTATCAGGGCGTCGACAGGCTCGTCCCCAGATTGAGGACCCCAACTGTGCCAGCATCCTTCTTCACGTGTCTCTCTTCATTTTGCTTGATGCCAAATTGAAGTCATTAGTTCAAGAATGCCCGTGTGGCAACCTGCCACACAAACGATCCTGGTCTTATCCTCTAGGGAGCTCTTCATGGATACTGCCATCTCATCAACAAACTTTCCGGTAGAAAGTTTCCGTCCTCAAGAACCGCTAGAAACCCAGAGTGACGCTGGCAGAGTCCGAATCCCGGACCAACTCAATACCAGAAGTAATGAGTGTCATGCGGCTATCTCACCT